TGAGCAGACTCAGCTGGCCAAGATGAACACTGCTGATATTACCTCCTTTGGTTCTGTATTCAGAGAGTCCAGTTCTTGGCAGAGCCCTAAGACTGGGGCATATAATCTTATCCTCTTAAGATTTCTAGAGAACAAGATCGATTCCCAGGAGATGTAGGGTTAATTAGCAGGGATAGCTCATAGTCCCGGAATGCACAAATCCCACATGAATCTCATTTTCCACAGTTTGGATGTGCTGAATACTAGGCTTTGGGTTTCTTAGCCTCAAATGAGAATGTAAGACAGTTCTACCTTGTGATATATTCCTGATTATGCCCCATGAGCTAACCAACTGACTCTTCCACATGCTTGGTTCCTTTTTCCAGTTCAGCTTCTCATCAAAGCCAACACAGGACCTTGGGAGCTGAGCCAAACTCAGCTCCCAGTGCTCTCCGAGGGCGTGCTCTTCTGTGGAATACCTGAGGCCTTGCCCAATGAGTCCTAGGCCTCAGCCCACCATACCTTACCAAATGGCATTTTCTTAGGAAGAAAAGTAGAGTAGTAGAGATGAAGGGAGTATAGGCTTCTAGACTAGCAGGACTAAGGAAGGGAAATGCCAAGCCTAGCCCACACTCTTCCAAGAAGGCAGATATCACTCCATCATTAATGTTTGCCATGTTTCCCTTTCCAGTCAGGGATGGCTTCCTCCGGAGAGAAGCGTGCGGCGAATCCTGTGTGCAGATCCCTGTTGCCAAATTTGCAACGCTGTGGCTCAGGAGATACAGCAATTGCTGATGGGTGAGAACAACCGGAAGTCCCCAACTTTATCGAGGAGCCCATCACAGGTCTCCTCTTGCCTAGAGATTTTGTCTGTGTCTACTATATCCTTTGAGCAGAGTCTAGAGTTCCATTCCAGACATACCAGAGAGCTTTCACAGGCATCTGTAACCCCGACACTGTCACAATTAACATATCAGAAATCTTTAACCCAGTCAGCTGCCCAGTCAATGTATGCAGATGGCAGCCAAGATTACTGGGCTGATCACCTCCAGCTAGGGCAGGAATTTCAAATGCCAGATGTGCTACAGGGCCCAAACACAATGGCTTCTTCGATGGAGGAGCCAAGAGCTCCACTGAACCAGGAGGAGACAATACACAGCAACCCCAGCCATGTCCAGGGGAACCAAGGCCAGCATCACTTGAATTCCCAGGTTTCCTTGCTGTCCCTGAGCCCAGAAACCCTGAATCAGACGCATCCAATGGCCTTGGATATGGTCCTTGCTGCCCACCTGCCATTCCTCAGTCCTGAAGTCCTGAGGCTTCTTGAGGTACATGTTAAAAAATGGATGCATTTCCAGAGGTGGGGGCTCCCCAGACGTGTGGAGGAGTCCCTGAGGCAGCTTATGCCAAACCCACCATTGTATTACCAGCCTGGAAATGGACAGCCACATTCTTTCAACCTGAATAATACTTCTCAGGTCTCTCTTCATAGATTTGAGATCATTTCCCACCAGACCTGGTGTTCATGTGTGGCTGGCCAGCCCATCCAGACCTTCTGGGTTTCTGAATGGTCCATTATGAACCCAGAACAAATACACCACTGTCTGCAAAGCCCAAACCCTGTGGCTCTAGCCTTGCCCTCTCCAGCCCTTAAAGCCCTAAGTGGCCCCCATCCATGGTCTGGAAAACAAGATAATGCCTCAGGGAGTGATCTGCATCAGAAATGCAGCCAGCTATTCTGTGGGCTCCCTTCTCTGCACAGTGAGTCCCTGGTTGCCACTTTTATGGGCTCTCAAGGCCTCTCAAAGAATGAAAATGTCCCCAAGCCCTCCTTGAAGGATCCTTTTCTCTTGAACAAGCTCTCCTTCCCCCAACTACTGCCTAAAACTCCACCCCAGTCAGCCCCACCCTCTTCTCCACTTTTCCCAAAATGGGTTTCTCCATCTGATCATCAACGAGCTCAGATCAACGTCCCATTTCTGACTCTGGCCGAGCGTGAAGCGTTGGAGTGGCACCTGCTACAGAGGCAGCTCCAGCTTCAGTGGGGCTTGCCAGCTGTCCTACAGAGGTCTCAGCACACCCAGTGCCCCATGCAGCATGAGCCCTGTGGCAAAGCTCAGTCTCCTGAGACCATGACAACTTCCCAGCCAGGGAAGTCCATCTCAGTCCTCACCAGGGAACTACTCTTCCCAGAGCATGCCCGGAACCTGCTGGAATTCCACATCCAGAAACAGTTGATTCACCATCGCTGGGGCCTGCCTCAGAAGATCCGGCAGTCCATCCAGTTGCTCCTTACATCCACTGACCAGCAGAGTTTGTCCTGCAGCAGCACAACCCTAGCCAATGTGAGCATCCCCCAGCCTGCAGCACTGGAGGCCAACGGGGCTTGTGATGTGGCCCCATCACCCATTGTGGCCCCAGTGTCCATACCCACGCCACACTTGTTAACCCAGGTCAAGGCAATACTGCAGAACCACATTGACTCCAAATGTGGACAGATCCACCAGGGCAAGATCCCTGCCTGTGTACATAGGTCCTGGGACTGCAGAATTTCTGGGGGCCTGGCAGTGGCTCCTTTTCCCTGCATTCCAGGAAGCCGGCTCCTGGAACTGCAGACAGCAAGTGACCCTGACCTACATCACAAAGTTATGCCCTGGATGCCAACGGCCCTTGATCAGCAGCAACAGGCCTTACCATGTACTGCCACTGAACACCCTAAGCTGCTCCGAGTCTTGTCCGTGGAGGCCATTGAGAAACTGGAGACAACTTTACGGCACAAGTATCTGGCCTTCCTGTCAGGGCTGCCTGCTCTGTATTATGTGGCGCTCTCCAGGGCCCTGACCGTGCCAGTCACTAGCCAATCTGTCATCACAGATATGGTGCCCGGGCCTATGGAGGTCCCAGCAGAGCTTCCGACTCAGATGACTTCATTTGAAGATCATTGTATAAGTCTTGGGCCGTGCCCTCAAGACAACAACAAGACTTGTACAGACGTTGCAGAAGAGTTCCAGCCTGCAGTGCCAGTAAAAGAAACAACGGAGACGCTGCCTCTAGAAAGCCAGGCTCATCCTGCTAGCCCCCACTCACTCCAGACACATATCTTGACCAAACTAAACTTCCACCTGAGAAAGAAGGTCCTAGAGATACAATTGGGAATTCCCATAAGAGCAAGGGAGTCCAGGGAACAAAGTGCTACAGTTCCTGAGAACATATTCACACAGGAGTCTCTTCAAAGTCTAAACCACCAAGGGGAGACATTGCTCCAGGAACTTCCCATCCCACCAGACACTCCTGCCCTCAATCCAGAATGGGTCCACCTTAAAGAACAGCTGGCCAATGAGTGGAAGGCAGTGCAGCAGAACCAAAAGCAATCTAATTCCAAAACAGTACCGCAAAGTTCTGCCCACTGGGTCTCCAAGATCTCACAACCCAGTGGGGACATGACAGGGGCCCAAGTGCTTTGTGTTCAGGTGGAGGCCAATGTGAACAACCCCAGTCTGGAGGAACCCTGGGGCCCTGAGCCTCAAAGCCCTAGCAAGAGCAACGACCCAGCCCATATCTCCATGTTAGCAGGAAAGAGAGAGGACCCAGAAGAAACCAAAGCAGCCAGGGATCATGGAGAAGGGGATGCAGGGTTTGGGCTCTCTTCAACCAGAGAAGAAAGACCCCCTGTTGAAGACCAGAGGCCAGGAGGGATGCTTCCAAACAAGACACCCCGAGGCTCCTGGCAATGGAGCCGTAGCTTTCATCTTGCAGATCCCTGTCAACACAGCCTCCAGCATCACTCTCAGCTTAAGCTCCCACAGCTACCTACGGGAGTCCCTGGGAGGAAAGGATCTCAGAATGACCTGCAAGACCGCCAAACCGAGATAAATACCATCTTTGAACAAGCGAGGATTCCTGAGAATGCCCAGACTGTGGTGCCCCAGGCTTCACAGGGTCAGCCTTTCCTAAGCCTACCAACTCAGAGTAAGCCTTTGCAGGGCCAAACTTTGCAAGGCCAGGTTTTGCATGGGCAGGTGATGCCACCCCGTACTCACAAGAGGCCCAGCCTTCCAGAGTCTAGCTTGAGAAATAAAATTAAATCTTTTCTGCAGTGTATTAATCCCAAGATGAAAGGCAAAGGGCATGAGGACTCCATGTTCTCAGCTGCTTCAAAGGTGGCCAAAACCAGAAAAGAAAATGTTGCAAAGAGCCCAGCTCCAGCCAAGAACCCTGTGGGGAGAAGTAAGACAGAGAAGCCACCAAGGCACTCCAAGGCCCAATCTCGTCCTGCTGAGAAGCTGGTGGGCCCAGCCTTCTTGGATTGTCCCCAGTCCCCAGACAATAAGCTCCAGCTATGCTCCAGACAACCTGGCCCTGCTGCAGCCCCAGGCCGCCCCCACCACTGCCCTTGGTACTGTCCTCGAGCAGCTTGTGCCACCCAACTAGGGCACCCACCCTAGCTCCTGACCCTCAGTTCAGATAGAAACGTTGGTCTGCTGGAGAACATGCAGAGCCATGAAAAAGAGTTTGCAGGCTCCCCACAGCTGCATCCCTCCAGAGGACCAGTATTGTCATTTCCATAAATAAATGTGCAGGTGGGGCAGGGTGCCAGCAGAAATACACTCAATATTTCTCAGCAATGAGTTGACTGTCTGTTCCTTATCTCCACTGTATTGTGTTAAGGGAAAGTGTGAGGCAGACTAAAAAGTCCTTCCTGTCTAGGAAAAGAGTTGTAACCCACCATTCAGATAGTTCATTTTAGAAGAGTGCCACAGTATTCCCTCCCTGAGGAGGTGCTTTTTTGTTTATCAAAACACAATATCTAATATGACAGGTGTCATTAGATACAGATGACAGACTCTCCTCTGACTACTCCCTGTTTATACTGGGAAGATCTTTCTAGAAAACCTATCTGGGAGCCTGCTGTGACCCTGCTGCCTGTTTCCTGTCTCCACCGCCTCAGTTGCATGAAATGAAAGCCTTCTGGAATGAAATCACAGTAGAAAACGGAGAAGGGCTTGTCCTGCAGGCCCAGGTTTCTATACCACCTATGTCTGGAGTCCTTCTCCACCACCCTCCTTGCCATGATCCTTGCTCCTAGAATTTCCCTTCACAGTAACTAATGTTGGGCACTTAGTCAGCTGAATCCCCTCCCAGGATCTGCCTGGTGCCTTTCCTTCAGGGGATGACTGCTATCCTTTCTCCTGCCAAGGTTGGCACCACAGAAGCCTGGCAGCTCCAGCCCTTGGTTCTTGTCACCCTTCTACATCTCTTCATTGTGTCCCATTGCATTTCTGAAAACACCAAAACCAATCACCTTGGCTGTCAAAAGAAGATGAGGCTTTTGGAGAATGTCCTATTAACACAGAAAGTGACCAAAAATCTAGAATTTAATGCCACACATAAGTTTAACAACGAGATCAGCTGCTCATAACTGAGGTGGAACTCTGGCCCTTTTGTCTCTCTCCAGGAATGTCCAATATTTTGCTATATCAGGGAAATACATGGTTATTATTAATTGAAATATTAGATGGAATTCTCTGAAACCTTTGGAGTAAAATGAAGAAGTCCAAGAGGGAGGCTGAGTGGCAAGCTGAGATCTATAAGCAGCTGCTAAGAAATGTAAGCCCCTCCAAATGATATCCTATTCACATCCTCCTTCACACACACATTAAATGAAGTCCCTTCTACAGACCTGCTTTGGAAGGTCTCTCAGTGTAGCTTGCCATACCAAGACATTCCTAGAGATCTTTCTTGCTACCTGTTCAGTCAAGCCTCCCACCCCAATCCCAGTACCATCACTGGGTGAGTGATTCACCACCAAAGGCCACTTTAGTAATCCTGGCCACACATCAAGCATCTTAATGATGGCTAGCAAACTCATATTCCCTGGATCCTATAAGGAGACCTAAGGGGACCTTGTCCTTCCTTCTCCAGTTACTTGGGTTGAGGCAGGCATTAGTCTCCCTGGAAGGAAGACTGGAATCTCTGACCTCTTAAGGAGGCCATGGCAGAACAGCATAGCTCAAGGTTGTGCTTGCTCCACTCAATAGGTTAAAAATGAATAAAAGATTTGGGTCACCCCCTTCTCTCTGGGAGGAAATTTCTGGCTGAAGTGAGCAAAAAATGATTTTAGGGTAAGATGATAAACATGAACAAAGGGCAATAAAACACCACAAGGAAAATATTACAAAATTCTTGAGCAAGTGTTTTTGTAATTTTTAGGGCAAATGTCTGACCCTGTGAGGAGAATGCAGAAATTAAGGTCAAAGTCACAAGAATGGAATGTGGAGAAAAATGAAGTTTAGAATTCTAGCTCAGAGATTTGACAAGTTACTTAACATTTCAGAGCCCCAGTTTCTTTATCTGGAAAAGAGGGATAATTATACATCTATACCCTAAAACTCAATTACTATTAATGTACTGGTGATTCTCAAAGCCACATTTCTGACCCAGTCTTTCTCCTGAGCTCTAAACTCTATGTTCAACAATTGACAAAAAAACTCTATCTTGTTACAAAGACAATGCAAATTAATTTAAAATTTCTAAATACACTCCACCTCACCAACTTGTTTTCCAAAGTCAGGGAATGGTATCACTATACATCCACTTTTTTGCTCAGTTCATACATCAAGACAGTCACTGAGTTCTAATCTTGATAACTCACAAGTTAGCTCCCTTTCCTCTATTTTTACTGACTCTCCTTTTAGTACAGTTTCTCATCCTTAGCTTGCCTGAATGGTTAAAATATGCCTCATAATCCCAGGGCCTAAGAAAGTAGCTAATGCATAGTAATACATTATATAAGTTGAATCCAAAGTCTATGCTGGGGAGGCAAAGAAAGTATTACATCTTTGTGATGAGTGCCATAAGGTGTGAGGTTGTGCCATATGAAGAAGTAATTAGCTGGTGAGGAGGATCCCAGAAGAGTCACAATAAAAATTACCTTGAAAAACATCTTACATTCAATAATTAAAATATGAGTACTTACTATGTGTCAAGTACCATGCCAAACACAACAAACAAGACACAAGCCTTGCCCCAGGGGAGCTCATCATCTCATGAGGTAGGTAGTCTCATAGGTTCAAATTGCCTAATCAATGTTTATATTTGGATACCAAATATTCATCTCAACCTCTACAAAAATGAACTCTCAATTCCCTGGCCACTCACCACCACCATCCATTTACACATACCAAATCTGCTCCAATCATTGTATTTCTCATATCAGTTAAGGGCAATTCCATCTTTCCAGTACTTCAGGACAAAAACAATAGTGTTATTCTTGAAATTTTTTTTCCCCTAACAGTCCACATCTATTCCATCAGTAAATCCTGTTGTCTTTACTTCAAAAATCCATTAAGAATATGCCCACTTCCCAACCTCTCTACTGCTACCATTACTGCAGTAGCATCATAATGTCCCCCATTTTATCCTGATACCATATGCCCAACAATCTTCAACACAGAAGCCTGATGGTCCTCAGGGAGGGTCCTGATTGCAGATGATAGATAGATAGATAGACAGACAGATACATATAGATATAGATATAAAACCATGCAACTGGATAACATCATCATGGAACTAAGTGTTTTAAATGAAGAGTTCT